GCTAATTCCTTTAGTCCGCAAATCCCACAAATGAAACAAAGTATGCGAAAAAATTCGCACTTTCGCACAAAGCGGACCGACAAAAATAACAACAATAACGTTGAGAAACATTGATGTAAATCAAGAATCTTATTTCATGTGTCTAACCCTCATGTTATCAGATTTTCTTTTGTATTGGTCACATGCTGAAAATAAAAATCGTTCAAATTAAATGACTGAAAAATAATAAAACAACATTAGCAATGCCAAGTTTAATAACATATACTTTTGATATATGCATTTACCACTCAATTGTGTTCTTTTCTACTTTTGCTATTGTTCACAGCAATAAAGTAGTCATCATTCGATATAGTTTGATGAACCGTCGAGTGTTAGAGACCTATTGACTTATCAAGTACAATAAGATAAAGAAAATGCGTCTCAGAAACTTGAACTGGGCCACTTTATAGACTGTATTATTTACGTCGCAAATTGGGAAAAAGCTGGAACCAAACCAACAAAAATAGTTCTGAAAGGGAAAATTTTCCGGAAAAAAAGTAGCAACCTGAATTTGATCGAAAATCATGGTAGAAAGGTTAAAAGCAGATTTGAAATTCTAGAAAAATGCGATTAAAATCGAAGAAAGTTTTTTCATTAAATTCTTTTATTTTAAAGGTTTAGATTACAATTCAAAACACGCTCCAGTTCTTGCGAACGGAACGAATCAATACATTAAAACGTTGGATTCTGTAAATACATATTTACGTACCTACGGCGCTTGAATAATCAGAACATTTTAATCGTTGTTTCATGGTGTTGGCACCAGGAGAGCTGCTACACAGGCTACTTCACACGTCCCGAAAGCGGTGTTACAACCAACTAAAGCTGGACTAGCCGCAATCGCTATACCTAGGTGTGTGGTATGGAAAAATTCCAATCAAATTACCAAATCTTCATATGTATTAACAAAAAATGATAAACAAACAACATGGCGTGTTACCTCCTGTGGCACCAAAAACTGCCCCAGCTGCTGCAAAGCAGGCCACAACAATGGTAGCACATCCTTGTGTTGGAAAATATTTCGATAAATGTATGCATGTTTATCATTTTTAAAATAAAGCCACAAAAAAATTCGTTAGCAAAAAATGGAATATAAAAATACCTGCATAGCAAATACCAGCACCGACAGGACCAGCTAATGCACATTGGCTTAGCAATGCGAATACAAGAATAAAAACTTGCAAATTCATTTCGAAAAAACTTGCCGTATGAAATGAACACTAGCAGATTTGAATTTCCAACAGCGTTTCAAGAACCCAGTCAAACCGAAGTGAAATTCAAAAGAGAAATGGAATGTACGGGACCTGCTTTTAGTTTTTATAGATGATGAAAGAGAAAATAAACTAATTTCATTAGCTCATATTGCAGAATGGAATCGCATCGATTTCTTTCCATGAAATGCTCTTTTGTTATTTGAGCTTTTTTCGATGTGTTAATGCATATTATTTGTTTATGTTATCGAATGATAAACAAATAATTCATCGAATGCTCATGCGGTATGTCTATCGTGTGTGCAATTTGCTTATAAACATGCACTGTCGTATTTATTTTCCGAATAATGATGAAAGTGATATTTAAATTAAACATCACGGTAAAAACAGAGAAAGTAAAACAGATCGATTTGATTTCAACTCCATGTTTCGATTGATTTTTTTCGTAAAAAGGCATTAATTTTGCATAATATTCATTCCTAGTTTTTAATTGATAGAACGATAGTCAGTTTGACGATTAATAACGGTGCAATGAAATGGAAATGAAAGAGTTCATAGAATGCGACAGAAACAAAGAGAGAGAGAGACAGATGTATCAAGTGTATCTGATGTCATTTCCACGATTCGTGTGAATAATTCGCATTACTTCAAGATGACTCAGTTAACCCGACATTGCAATGATGTATGTGTTAGCAGCCAAACAGACAGCCATGTCTAGTAAACTAAAGTATGTACGAAAAAAAAGTCTATAATTTATGATGTGTTCGCCTAACAGAATGCATTCAGTTTAATTGAAAAATATTTGAGGTGACTTGAATGAACATCAGACGTTCCTTGAACTATATGTGCGCGTTTTTTTTTTCATTTTGTCATGGCCATTTTTTTATGATTGCATCATCCATTATATCGGCCAACCGTCTATCATCCAGTCAATATGGCGGCGACTTTCAGTGAATAGGCAACGATTATTTGCATGTGTTTGGGGTAAAATAGATTTAATGCTTTTTCGCTTCGCATTGTGATGCACTTTGCGATAGAGAGATAGAGAGAGAGAGAGCCCAAGCAAAAATAGAGATGAAGTTATAAATCGGAAGTGGATATATGAATAATCCTGGCATCTCACAAGCGTAACACATGCAAGCATCGCCTAATGAAATAGCTCATAAATCATCTGGGGCTGGATGAGAGATTCCAATATCGATTCGAAGAATATGCGAACGACTCATGTGTTTATCAACACAAAAAACAGTGGTCAGAATTATATTGGCACATGCGAGAGTGAAAAATATATGTGTATGATTGCATCGACGGCTGAATACGAACAAAAAAGTGGGCATTAGCATATGAACGAATGTTTATGAACTTCGATATATGTTTGTTTACAATGGATCCGTTCGAGGCCGATGCTACAAAAATAAATGGATGAGTGCTCGCATCAAATTCGCCGAACATGAAGAACAGCAAATACATGAACACACGCTCATTTTCACACAAACCCATTCGAATCGGGAGCAAGAGAGCGAACGAACGACCATTGACTTTATTTGATTTTGTGATATATGATTGAGACCCCATAAACTGGGTTTATGGTGCATTTGCACGGGAATTTTCATCAATTATTTACACTGGACTTGATTTATATATATTTTGGATTTCGGCCACTTTTCACCTTGGCTTCACCCAAATTTCTCCTCATATGTTGCTTTTTGGCACGTCTGTGTTGGGCTGCGTCAAAAAATAAATATAACACGATATGGACATTTCAATAAATCAACTTTATTTCAATAAAATATTTTCAACATTTTCGTAATGTTCGCCGTTTGGGCCGCCAAATGTTCAGCTTCATTAGATTAGCATCGCGCAGTCGGTTTTCATCGAAAATGCCAAATTGAACGTGAAATCAACGGATTTTTTTTGTCATGGATTTTGGATTTTTGGTGAATTTGAACATCATCTCGATTTAATACCGCAAAAATAAGTCGAACATCACCGCTGTGGACAATAATCCATTATTCCTGTCGACTGAAAGAGATCATTCCAAAGTTTGAACAATGGCGAGAGGAAGAGAGAGGAGAGAAAAACCACCACTCAGTCTACAATACAGTTCAGCTCCGCCGAGCTGCATGATTTATGAGTTTGATGTTTGCATTTCGTTTTACGTTTAAATATCATTTATAAAATGGCAACCGAAAACGCATCTGTATTGTATGTGAACGTTGCCACGGATTTTACACTGATGCAAACATCATTCTTGATCAGATTAATGAATAAACATATATCCAAAATCAGGCCATAAAATATATCAGCCGCACAAAGTTGGGCACGGCTCGGATCGGCACGGTGCTACACCACTGAAAAATAAATGAAAAATAATTACGATATCAACGGCATAAATTCGAAATCTAATCCGAACACAAAATATTGACGATGGCAAATGCAGTTGTGAAATATATTGGCCACAAGCACACCGTATCACACGGATATTCCAGCAGCGTGAATATAAACAAACGCTGAAATGTTTAATTAAACCATTCAACCGAAACGGTCGTTGTCCCTGATTCAATTGAATATTAAACACGCTTCAATTGGGCAGATTTTCAGCTTGTGTGTGTGTGTGTACGAACGTTTGGAAAAGGCTGAGGTCAGCTGTACGCCCAGTTGCCTAGCAAATGTACACATTGTACAAATGAAGTGCTGACCACCGTATGCGATATTGTTGATAATAATCAATGCAAACATTGTACAACATTTCAATAAAATGATAATCAATCCGATTTTATTTGACATTTTCATTACCAACGACTCGACATAATATTTTTAATGGTTGGTTTAGTGCATGATTGATAGCAATGACGAATCAGTTTTTTTTTTCTGCAGTCCATGGAAATTGAGTATTTAGAATGAAATTATAATAGTTGCGCTAAAACACAATAGGATTTGTATTGAATATTGACGATGGAGAGAAAAAATTCAGGATTCATTTTAGCTTATTGTGTAAGCTGAAAAACGGTGTATTTCGATTTTAAATGAAGATTGATAGCAAATTAATCGGATTAAAGTGAAATAAAAAATGTGTTTTTTTTTTCAAACAGAATAGAAAAATGTTCTGTGGATTTGAAATGTTAGGTTCGAAAAACTGTTTGATTTAGAGTCAGTCAACTTGCTTAATGTGAAAATTCACTGAAATTCCCATCATTCAATATTTACTCGACTCGCACCGGATACGACTGAAATTCAAACAAATAGACAAGAAACTCGTCTAATGGGTATAAATACCATTCGACCAGATATCGAATGGAAGCGCAGACTTGAACCATTTTACACTGAATTTCTGACGAACGAATTTAAAGCAAAAGAAAAAAAACAAAAGTCTTGAATCAACGTTGAACGGTTCGGTTCGACTATGAACATGTTTGCATGGTTGAGTGTGTGCGTAGGTATTTCTTTGACAATAATACTGCCTATATGATTAAGTCAACAGTAACATTCTTCCACCATACGAACGCACAGGTAAAGGTGTGTATATGTATGTGTGTGTCGACACTCTGCTTTCTTTACCAGGCAAATGGAACGACAAAACGATTCGAACCAAAAGAGAGAATAACAACAATAACACGAGATCACTTAGCTGCACACGCATACATGCACGAACGACAGATCGCTGCAAATAGAATAAACGGATAAAGACAAACACACAGGCACACAACGATGGAGCGCATTCTTTAGTACACCTTCTCTTTTTAACCGCAACGATCGTGGCCAGCATCAAGTCATGGCATTTTACCAGCGGGGTTATCGTCCTCTCGCTTGCACACTGTGGAATTTCGTCTTCATTTTTGTTGCCGTTCGAATGCTGTACTGTCTCACTGCTCAACAGTTTCCTTCAACTTCTAAGTAATTCGGTCAATTTGGAATTTCTTCTACAAATTCTGGTAAGTATTTCCATTGGAATATCCATTTTTTTCTATTTCTAGTAGACAAAACATCGATTTGTTCTTTACATTTGTGTTTATGTTGGTTGAGATAAATCTTTGAAGTTTTGTATGAAAATATAATATAATAGGGACCTCGTTTACACTAAAATTTTTATACATATTTCCAATCACCTTTTCATATGCATCGTTTGACACATTCCGTGTAGTAATTATTGATCAGTTCATTCGTTCCCACGATGAAAATGCAAATTTATTGATTTTACATACATTTTGTTTCAATTGCAGATCGTTTTAATACATTTTACCAATCAGATGTGGTTTTAATAGAAAAATGTCAACGACACAGTGCAATTGTTATAGTTGAAAAGTTCAACACTAAGATTGGTATTGATATTGAGTGAGCGAAAAAAAAGTGTGCCATCACCTTGAAAATGTGTGCAATTCAGAAGAACATGAAACAGATTGAATTAACTGCACCGTAAAATGAACAGAAACAAGCAGTTTCAATAATTGTATCTTATTTTCGAGAGAGAGAGAGAGAGAGAGAGAGAGAGAGAGAAGAAAAGGAGAAAAATCACTCTGATGTGTCATTCGGTGTGCAAAATATAGTCCAAACCAAATTCCAAGTGAATATCGCAAATCCGTTGCGATACGAGTCAAACAAAAGAAGAAGAAACAACAGGGCAAAATGACGGAATTTTTGTCCTTATGCGATGTTTTATTCAATGTGGTGTCACTGGCTGGCTATTTTTGTGATGTTGTTTTCGATGTTGTCCTAAGCTATGCATTGTTTGAACGGGGCCATTTCTTGTACATGGCCTTTGTAATAGCCCTAGTGATGGTGTCTCTAATCATTTCACAGGTAATTAAATGCCATAAAATCGAATATTCAAAAGAAAAACGCCCCAAATAAAATTGCCGTTTCCTTTCAGATTCTGTCATTGCGATGGTACATGCAAAAGGTCGAAATGAGAAGTCGAGATTTAGTGCCAGTGAACGGTGCACACGGCAATAACGGTGATCAGAAGAAATCAATGGACATAACGACCAATTCGTCGTCAACTGAGTCAAGTGATCAAACACTTCAGTCGAAAATCGAACGTCATTGTGTGATTGCGTTGCATTGCTGCCAATTGGGTGTTTTGTGGCGCTATGCAAAGCTTTTTGTGCCAGTTAATTTGCGACATGTGAAGCATGAAGTGCGCGATTTGTGTATGCTACGTTTGGTGCACGCATTTTGTGAAGCGGCTCCAATGTTGCTTCTCCAGCTCTACATACTGGTGACGATTCAAAAGGAAGAAGCCAATCTTCTGAAGCCCGAAATACCATTGCAATCGATCGGCAACGGCCATGTGGCTCCAGTTATTGTACAACAACCGTCCGACTCTCAGCAGCACCAGTTGCAAACATTCAAAGATTTGAACATTGTGTCGTGTACATTGTCTCTGTTCAGTGTTTGTTGGGCGCTGGCCAGTTTCAGTAAAAATGTTCGCATTCAGAATGTGCATCGGCTTGTGCTCACCTGGTTGGGTGTAATCTTTCAATTTTTATGGCGCCTGGGTACGGTTATATCGCGCGTTGCATCGCTCACTGTGTACGCCTCCGTTTACAAGCAATGGGTGATTTTGGTCATTGCATTGCATTGGATATCAATGTTTTTGTGGCTTATCTCACCGAAAAATGTATTTCACGGTGAACGCATCACACGCTTACGTAAAATCACATTGGCCGGTTTAATTGCATTCGTTTACGTATTTGCCTACATCAATTTACAAGAAGTGAACCACCGCCAGAAGATGTTCATTTTTTATTTTGTCATGTTTGCGGAGAATTCATTGCTGGTATTTCTGTGGCTTATCGGCATTTGGATTGATAAACCGGAAAATTGGTACATGACACCCATCTGGATATTCGCATCGTTTTTGGCCGGTCTTCTCTTCATGTTCCTGTACTATCGGTGCGTAAACACTTTTTTTTCTTCTTGTCACGTATTTCTCTTTCGCACACACTGACACAGTCGTTAATTATAAAATTGTTGGTTTGTCTCCACACACACACACACACAAAACAGATACTTTCATGTGAGACGATTGGGATACGAAGCAGGCGGTCGATTACCATCTGATATTCACACAAAGTATTCATGTGCCGATGGCACGAGCTGCATTTCATTCGACGACAATCTGAATACATGTCAAAAGTATCCGTCACAAATTCCAGGCGTGTTTAATTGCCGTTTTTCCAATCCCGTCGGAAAGTAAGTTGAATCAGCGTGAAACAAGCAATTTGTTCGAAGCAGTCTTTGTTAAAATGATTTGTTTTTCTCTTTTTTGTAATTTCAGTGGTGCGGCACGTCGCAAGAAGAAGAAGCCAACAACTTTTGTGCCACCACCCAATCTAAATATGGAGCAATCACTTTCGAATGGATTAGAAAATCAAATAACAAACACTGGCCTAATGTCCATTCCATTTTGGCGTCGACCCGTTGCACGCTCACACACTTATGGATCGTAAGTGGCAATTTTCACTTTATACCAATGGGGGAAAAAACTAAATGCTTATTATTTCATTCAAAATTACAGCGAAAACGAAGGTAGTGCTGGCTCTCGTGTGGATATCTATCAAAAATTGCAAGAGAAAAAGCAAAAACAATTGGCCGAATTGAAAATCATCGAAGAGGAAATTAAACAAGGTAAACTGGGTGGCCCAGTTGGAAATATTAAACTACATACGGATGATAGTCGGGCATTGTTACCGCGTCAACCAATTCCACATGTTAAGAAGCACATCAATATTGATCCACATGAATGGCGAACATCCAGTCCCGAATTATGCATTAGTGCATCAATGGGTAGCATACTGAACGATTTGAATGTAATGCCATCACCGAATATCAACGAAATCAACAATCTTAACAAATACACACGAAACTATGATCCCTTGTACAATGATTTCGTATTGAATACAACGAACATGCCGGCGCTGAACAAAAAGAACTTCATTTCTATGGAGAATAATCAACGGAACATGGGAAACATGTCACCGATTTCGTCGCAAATTTCTGGCACCGAAAACCATCGTCCGATTATGCCACGATCGAAAATACCACACAATGTGCCACGCAATCCATTCGCCGAACCGTATCGCTCGAACTTCTCCAATGTTTTTGCCGAAAGTTTCAATAACACCAACGAATTGCATCAAGTAACTCAAAGTCCTACTCGACTGGCGTCGGCATCGAATAGCAATAATGATGACAGCAATGACAGTAATAAGAAAAGTAATGTCGGCGAAAATGAAAACAATGCAAAACAAAAACAGCAACAACAGCAACAGCAGCAGCAACGATTGCATTTACAGCGTCAAATGCAACGAGCCAAAACGCCCGAAATCCTGTTGGCACCGCATTATCTTGATAACTCGAGTGCATTTTATGATTGGATGGATCGAGAACAACAGCCAACATATCGTTCGGAAAATAAACAGCATCAATGTCACATTGCCAATGAAAATCTCGACGATCCGAATGAAAATGTGTTGGACCAAAATGAGTATCGAATCCCATCGGATATTGACAGCCAGGTATGAGCAAATGCATTCATTCTGCAATTTTATGCTTTGACTTCGAATTGGAAAAGTTTAATGAATACTTTTCTCTCTCTCTCTCTCTCTCTCTCTCTCTCTCTCTCTCTCTCTCTCTTTCTTTCTCCCGATTGATTGATTTAGGTCTCTTTGCCGCGTTCGTACACGTTGCCCAGAGAATTCAAGTATTATCGCCGGAATAAGGGTCGAAAGTTCATTAAAAACGAACGCTTTATCATGAGCACCAATTCATCGGACGGTGATGTGGATAGTGCAGAGGACAATGAATCGGGAAGGTGTTCGAATATCTCAGACGGTTCGCAACAGCAACAACAACGGCAAAATTGCCATCGATTGCAATCGCCAACGGTGGGCAAAAATTCACCGCTGCAGACACAATCATCGAATCAAGTGTCAAATGCAAGGAATCAATTTCCGATAAGCATATCGGCCACCACATCACCCGTAACTGTTACGAATATACACAGTGGCCCGTCCCAAACCAATCCTCTTATGAACAATCTGAATTTGACAAACGATGCGTCAAACGCGAGCGCCGGAAATTGTACTCGGTCCGCCTCAGCCTCACCAAATATTGCACTCAACGTACCAAACTATTTCAACCGCATACCAAACGGCCATTACTTACAGCAAGCGGGAAGGAATCGTATGATCCTTAACGGTAGCCCATCGATTGATTGTAATATGATGAGCGGTACATTCGATCTAATCAGCGGTGTTGAAAACACTGCAGCAATTGCTGCTGCGATGAATCGGCGAATGCGATTACGTGGTTATGGCAATCAAAAGAATGGCATGGTACGGCACGAAACGAAGCTGTGAAGCACAACACAATACACACAAATTGACATCCAATCTATACACACTTCACATTCAGATGTTCAATACAAACTGTGGTCGAGATTTTTTTTTCTTTAGTTTTTCATTTTTCAACAGCTATTTAATTTATAGACGACATTTTTTTTTATTTAAAAACCCCATGATTTTAATCTTAGGATTTTATACGACTTTTTTTTATTCGAATTATATGCAATGTGTAAATAGTTTTTAGACTAATATATCATCCGGATATTTAACACGAATAAATATTAAAATATTTTCAAATAAAACCACATTTTTTATTGACTCATTTTAACGAGCGATTTGCGGCAGCAATTAAAAATAGCATAACAAAAGAAGAAATGATGTAGAAGAAAAGGCAAAAAATTCTGCATGCAGTCCAATTGAAAGCGTCATTTGTGCGCCTCTGTTGAGGGAGTCATGTCACAGATTAAAGAAGATAATGTGATCATCAAACTGAATAGCTTTATTAACCTCCACAATGTGAAAATGCAGAAAAAAAGAACTGTCCATGTCACCAAGGCATCACTGGTATCGCTCTTTGCTTGAATGGGCGCCAATTTGATTAAATGCCCTCAAATATGCCATAAAAGTTGGAAATTTTCACATCGAATTTTTGACCACAGCACCGAACTCCACAGCAAACTGCCTGCAGTTAAAAGATATAAAAAAAGAATAAACCATGCGATTATCATTTTGCTCGGATAAGAGTAATATATTGAGAGGATGGGGAGAGAAAAAAAATTTCTAAATGTTTTTTTTTCTTCGTCAAGTTGTTCGCCAATTGCATCACCGACGAGAGCAAGCTGCAGTTTTTATTTTCTCTCCATTTTCTCTCTGCGAAGCGGGTCCCTTTTATTCCATACATTCGCTTGAAACAAGTGTCGAGCAGCTTAAGCTTGAGCTCAATTTTTCGCACTATTCAGCACGCTCGCTTGACTTTGTTCGACTTGGTATTCATTCGGTTTTTTTTTCTTCGTCCATGGTTTTTGAGATCCCCAGCGAGAATGTGTGTACATGTATTTACTATAGAGCATGCGGTCGTGTTGATAATATCAAAAGCACGTATTTTGCTAGTGAGAACAAAATGAGTGCGAAAGAAAAACCTTCGAAAGCAGCGAAATGGGAGAAAAAAATGAAACGGAATTTTAACGTCATAATCGTTATTCTCGAGTGCATGTAGTGGGCACAAGTATATATATGTTTGAATGTGTGTGTATTTGTGTGCTGGCAAAAGAAGGCAAAAATTAAAACGAAAAACCGAATGATGTTTTTCTCATGTTCAAATTGAACCATTTCACTTTAAATGGTTTACATTTTTTTTCGCCTCTCTCTCCCTCTCTCTCTCTCTCTCTCTGCTCGTATTCTCAATTCGAAAGCTCCTTTTTCTTGCTGTCTCAATGCAGCCATGTTGCTGGTATTCATTCATTCATTTGTGCCATCTCGTTCCCAAATGAATTTTGCTGCGAGCAACGTTACTACTGTTACTGATATGTCATCATCGTGTACGTCTATGCACCCAGTTCATGGAAATATTTATTCGGTTGACAGTAGGGAAAATGGTCACGAAGGAGTGCACCACCACCAGTAGCAATAGCAGAAGCAGCAATAACAGCAGCAGCAACCAGCAACCGAAAACAGTGGCGAAAAAATATAGGATAAATTTTCGAAAGGAAAAAAATTGGAACACGATAATTTGTTGTAAAATGGGCGGATGGTGAAAATCGTAGCTCACATTTCTCGATTTTTTCTTGTGCCCATGGAAATGTTGGATACCAGTTTTTCCGTTTTTTTTTCTCGTATTATTAAAATGCCGTAGTCGGAAATCATTTGTATTGCAGACCGGTGATTTATCGAACGACCACAGTCATTCGTATGATGCCACGGGGAACAAGGAACTGGCGAGAGAGAAAAAATGCCACCAAAACACAATGATAATTTACTTCGAAAATTGGTGATGTTCTTTGGTCACGACAGATTTAAATGCAAAAATCGATTCCATCAGTCGAAAGAAAAATTCATGGAATTCATTTAACAAGCGAACATTTCGACGTATTATGATAGCGATGTATTTGATAGCGACGTGCTCCAAATCTCTACATTCATATTTGTTATCGATTTTCAAAACTCAAATGAAATTCTAAAAGCATTTCCATTACTTTGGCACTCAAGCATTGAGGAAGTAATTTTTCGTATCTTATTCAAAATTCTGGATTTCGATAAAGGTGACCAACAATTTCAACGATGCCAAAGTCTTGGATCAATAAGTAAAGGGCGAATTACTGTTAACCCAATGGAAATATGGTGAACATTTTTTGAAATTGAAATTCGAATTAAATATGTGTTCTTGTAATGGTTCCAGTATCAAGCGTGTGTGGGTGGGTGGGTGGTTGGATTGAATATGAATTTACCGAACACTTGGCATTTACTTTTTGCGGTGTGATATGAATTTTAGATTTTCTATTTGAAATGTAAGCATTCAGGGGTTTCAGTTGGTCCACATAAATTGCGTGCTTCAGCGAATTGAAGTGTACTCGCTTGAACGTGGCCAACATATTTCATCTGACAAATTCATGGAGAAACACTTTTTTTCACTGCAAGTCTGCTGTTTATTTTTCTAGGCCATGTAATGCATCACATAAAATCATGTGCATTACAAGCATATTTTACACATAGACACAGCTCTACTTCTGCTATAGGCCGAATATATAAAGAGGTCAGCCCGAATTTACTTTCATATAGTTTAAGAGTGAACATCCGCTAGTAATAATTGATTATACTATACATTGAATGACTTTTGCATCGAAAGAAATACTTCGATTAAAATTCATTGAAATCAAAAGCAAATAATGAAATTCACTGACAGTTTATCACTGAAGAATTCTTCGATTAAAATGGAAATGCTAAATGAATAAACTCATCAATTCCTTAAAAGAAATATAGTTTTCGTGGCCAAAAAGGTTAATGGCTTTCTAAAAGTAACTTTTGTACAGCACTATGTTGAAATGAATAACATAGTACTAATTCAAACTCCATAAAATGAACTTATATTCATTTCACCTGTCCATGGCTGCAAAAATGACACAAATTGATATGAAAAGTTGGAATAGGCAGCCAACAAGCCAATAGCAGTGAGCAATGTTTAAAATATTCATAAATGTTGGGCTCACTTAAAATGAAGCACATTTCTACATGTGCCTGTCTGCACCAACATCAACCAAAAACCTGCTGTAACTAAAGCGAAACTGTTACTGAAAGCTCAATGGGACGGGCTGTGTGCCACATCGCACGGTCCATTTTTCAGAAAACATTCTTGCCATAGATAGTTCAAGTGCATTTTTAATAGTGTACAGCTAATAAAAACCGTTGGCCGAAAGCAAAACAACCCGAAAACCGGCATTTATGCGAACAAGTCGAATCGTATTTTCTTTTGAATTCAATTGAAACGAAATGAATGCTAAATTATTTACCTTTGTACTGTAAGTTTGCTTATCACATGCCATACTATACACCCAAAATCCCGTTGCTAACGTTACCAAAATGTTTATTTCCTTTCGACAATTGAACTAAAAATGGACTTGTAACATTTTTTATTTCTCTTCATTTTTGGGCGGTGAATTTTCACACTTGTTCAAACTCGAAATTTTCATTTTGGATTACAATTCCTTTGGCCACCATTTCGTATTTCATATGGCCAATTTCAATGTGAATTGCATAACAGCTGACATGTTTTCTTTTGAATAATCTACGCAATGGGCGACCCAAAGACAAACAACGACCGAAACGAATTCGGGTTTTTATAGCGCATTTAGTTGAAATATTGATGTAATTTTCAACCAAACTTGCTGAAACAGTGGAAACACTGTGTTCGGCGTAGATTCATTTTGCTTTACTTCAATATTTGGTTGCGTCATGCAGTATTGATTTTCAATGTTTATGAGATCCTTTAATCAAATCTCGCATCAAGAGTTTTCCATAAGACGATGATTGAAGCAAGTAGGTAACAAGTGAGTATTTCCTAGTGAAATATTGAGGGGTATCGTTCAATCATAATTGCATGAGATGCAATTTGTATCCAATTAAACTGAGGATTAAATTGAATATGCATGTCAATGTAATCAATGCAACTTGGAATATGCATATATCAACGATTATAATGTCTTCTCCTAGAATTCTTGGAAATATCTGCGATAATACGCTATCAAATGTTATTACATCGTAATATGGGCAGTAAGAACCACTTGATACGATGAGTTTGATCCAGCTAATGAATACGATTTCAATCATTGGCAATTCTGTGAAGTGACTACAAATTATTCACATTAATCAACATTAATATTGATTTAATTTTTTTTTTCACCAAGATGCAAAATTATTCCGGAATTTTGTAGACATTTTATCCAAATGTGATTTCTCCAAATCCAAATTGATCGAATTCGAAAATTGATGCAACACTTTCCAATGGAAAATTTCCATACAGGATATGCAATCCACGTGAAAAATGGAAAATACAGAAATGAGAGAGAATTCAACCTTTGAAACTAACCCTTCAAAGATTCAGCCTGACATTCAGTAAGAACGAAAAAGATAACACGAAAAAAAAATCCAAGAAATTTTGAAATGAACGTCATGAAGGTTTAAATAAATCAAAATTGCAACTGTTCCACGAAATAGAATGCATGAATGTCAAAATGCTTACGAAATTTCGAAATGCATACCAATAAGGAGGTGTGCAAAACTATAGGAAGACAAATGCCATGCCGTTTGACAACTCAAATTCAAAGAATTTTTGACATCATATTGGAATATGGTTTTATGGTTGAGACACAAGTTTGTTTTCAATGCAATTTGGAATGCAGAAGAATGCCACATCTGGCAACATATCTGCGATGATATTTCAAGTATATATACAATTATTTAATAATAATTTGCCGTGCGCATTCATAAATGCATACTCAGTTGGAAAATGAGCCCAAATTGAATTCAAAAGCGAGTATATTTGGAGAAATTAGCTTGGTGTTATTGTGATATACTGAGTGCATTGAAGCTATTTTGATGTCATGGTATCGCACTCCATTGTTTGCCGTTTTTACTCTCGTTTGAACATAGAACAGCTAGAATATTTTATGGAATGTCATTGCATGCAACTTTTCTCTCTCTCTCTCTCTCTCTCTCTCTCTCTCTCTCTCTCTCTGTGTGTGTGTGTGTGTGTGTGTGTTTGTGTCTGTCTTTTCGCTCTAATAAAGGAATATCGTTTGACGCAAACGAG